CTCAGCCAGATCGGTAGTTTCATATACCAATACCCCCAATTATAAGCTGTCGAAATTCTTAAATTGCAAATTCAGAGAGATCATTAATTTCAAACCTTCTCACACCATACTAAATTCTATAGACTTGACAAACAAAATCAACAACATAAAAATTAACAATAACCCTCAAGAAATGAGGAAAGCAGCAGAGATGAAATATTGAGTTTTCAAAATGAGAAGGGGTATATTTTTTGAGAAAATATGAGTTTTTGGAAAGTGGTTTTTGACTTTCAATTTCTTCATCTTGGTAGAAAAAACAAATATTTCGAAGTGAACTCTTCACCAGGATGTGTAGATCATGCATAGACTTTCAGATACTAACTGGAAGAGAATACCCTCCCGAAACAACTACTTTCCTATGAAAATTGATTTACACGTAGTAAAAAATATTTTTGTAACAAATACTCCCATATTAAGCAGATTTGTACTCCAAATAATCGTTATAGGATTGAAATAGACATAATTTCTACAATATATGAAAAATTCTCTACAAAAATTTGTAGATCATGCACATCAGTTACTTAGTCTATAGTAAACTGAGGAAAGGATATCTTTTGGTTTCTTACTAGTTAGTTTATTAACCTAATAGCAATAAAATGAAAATTTATGGAATTCACACAACTGAAACTTTCAAAATTTTACAACTCGATTGAAAAATGAATGCTGATTATGAAAACTACAAAAAATATCCGAACTATGCAAAGACAAGAATTTTCAAAATTTCATTTGACGTGGAGGGGACAAATTCAAAACTTGTCTCGAGTCCTTGCTTATTTACACAGTACTTCACAACTTATTTTCTGATTGAAATGTAATCTGTACTGTTCAGAATTCCAATATTTTCATATCTTTCAGTTAAAAATCATGTGATCTTATGGTGAATGGTATCCACAGTGGAAAAAAAAAGGATTGTTTGAATTAGTTTATTCAATCATCTCTTGATGATGTCAGCTCAGTTCGTGAAACGCGCTTTGAGAAGAATGTTGTAGTTCTAGTATGTGGAAGAATTATTTAATTAATTTGAAGGCATATTTCACCTTAGACTAGTTTGAAAGTATGTATTGTTTCCTTATCAGTGAAAGGCAGATACCACTAAAGCTTGTCGCCTAATTGTCCGGCACAGCACAGCACGGCGCTGTCCGTCGCCTGATGGCGACGGGTAGTAGCATCGCCCACTTGTTTAGCTACAACCAGCATACTGAAGGTGTTGTTTGTTCAATTTCAAGGAAATTTCACTTGACATCGAGCGGTGACAGAAACACGTCTATCATTAGCAGTTCTGAAGAAGAAGTCGTCATTATAGTAGCCGCATTATTGAATGTAGAAGAAAATAGTCACAAAAAAGAATGTTGTGGGTCCATCATATTAATCAAAAAAGGGCAAATCTGGGGGAGTTTCATCATCTTTTCAACGACCTGAAAGAAGAAGAGGAAAATATTTTCCAGTAGTTCTGAATGACTCCAGGCAAATTTTCAGGATATTCTAGAGCCTACCATAAAAGTAACTCAATTTTTCCTCGTCCATTTTTATAGGTACCGTCTTACAATGTACTGTCAACTGATGTAATAGCAAAACAGAGATACAGAAACTTCTCAGGCACATTTGGACAAGTAGGTGCTGGCAAGCGCTGGTCGGCGACGCGCTCACTTGGCCAGTCCGTCACAGGACGTACCGTTATTTGCCGGACAGGATCGTAGAGCTGGAATCCTTTCCGGCGGCGGACGCTCTTGTCTGCCTTGCCGGGCTAGTGGGCGGTTGTCCATTTGTTGTCATTGTTCCAATCTTATCCATATTTTGACGGGGCGGTGCTGTGCCGGACAAATGGGCGACAAGCTTAACACACCATTCACTTACATTACTAAATATTTTTTTTCTGAGAATGAATCCTATATACTTCGGTTATTATATATGAAATAGATCTAACTGAAGCATGTACAGATTATCGTGAAGGAAAATCAATGTACCGAACATTCTCAGAATTAAATTCAAAATTTCTTTCTTCTGTGTAACTGCACAAAAACGTTAATCAGTGAATACGAAATATTGCTTTTCTACCTTATACTCAACGAATATTGATTAATGACTATACATATACGATGCAGAAAAACTCAAAGTCGTCTTCACAATTTATTATCACCCTAAGATGTTGGAACGGTAAAACCATCAATCAGCACATGTTTCGAACCTATATAGGTACTTTATTTAAGGACAGAACACAAGTACTACAGGAAAATCTTTAAGGCGCTCGCAGAGTGGTGTCTGTGCGGAAGTAGAGATTCACATTGGATTTGAATCGCTGGAGATTAAATCCATTTGGAAAAACGTTCTCAGAAAGTTTATTCCACATAAAAGCAGTTGACCAGATGAAGAAGTTCCTAAAAAGTGAAGTTCGAAGTGTACTGAGTTGAACCTCAAAACAATGAACAGCCACAGCCCGTCGCGTATTTCTGATATGTACCGCTCTTGGTGGAATCAGATATGATAAGTCACTTGAACACCTCCAGTGAAAGTATGTATAGAAGAGAGACAAATCTACAACTTTTCTTCGATTTTCCAGTCTATCAAGGTTGCACGTGATGTTCGCATTTCCAATCAGGCGGATGGCTCTTCTCTGGATGGATTCCAGCAACTTCAGGGTATGTTTGGGGGCAGAACTCTCTACATGAGAACAATACTCCAAAGAAGGTCTGATTTGAGCTTCATAAAGCATCAAAAGTTGCTGAGGTGTGTACAGTTTTCTAGGTCGGAATAGTGTTCCAAGCTTATGAGAAGCAAACTTGGCAATTTCAGTGACATGATTGTGCCAAGATATATTGGTGTGAATTTTAACTCCCAACAAACTTATCGAAGCAGAAAGCGGAATTGTCTGACCTGACATTATTATATCCGGTACGAAAACATTTATTTCTTTGGAGAAAACCGATGCCTGGGTTTTTGTGGCATTGAATTGAACCTGGTTACTTTCACCTCAACTCGAAATCACTTCTAGATCCTCATTAAGATATGCAACTTTCGTCATCAGCAAAGCAATATATTGGAATCTTTGTTTTTCAATAAGTCGTCGATATACAATAAAAAGAGGGTTGAAGACAATATGGATCTATGGGGAACACCAGCATTGATGGTGAAAGAATTCGAGAGATATCCATCGAGGACCACTTGCAGAAAACTTTTTTTCGGGAAGCTGAAAAGACATTCAAAGAAATGATCCGACAAGCCATATCATCGAAGTTTGGCCAGCAAACCCTCATGCCACACATGGTCAAAAGCCTTAGAAATATCAAGCGCAACAGCTCTCGATTCTCCATGTTTCTCGATTGCGCTGTTTCAAATATGGGTGACATTCGATAAAAGGTCCCCTGTTGATTTTTGTTTCCGAAAGTCATATTGATGATCGCTTACGATGTCAAAGCCTTCCAAATATTTGAGAATATGGTGGTTTACGACTTTCTCCGTGATTTTCGATATCACTGATAGGAAAGCGACTAGTCTTAAACTAATCATCATCAGCTAATTATTTAAAAATTCCACAATAAAAGAACAACATAACAATAGTTAATAAAATGGAGTATAAAAATTCTTAAATGGAGAAGAAAAATTTTATAATTCAGTAAGTATTTTTATTCTTCAATGTATTAACTATTGTAAAATTTTCAAATTACTAGCTGATGATGAATCTATATAATAATAAGCGCCTGACCTTCGCTTTTCTCAGGTCGAGTGGGCTGAAGTCGGAAACCGAGGGGTTCATCATGGCTTGCCAGGATAGTGTCTTCATCACCTTAGTCTACCGCAGTCACGTGATGGGTATAGAGGTTCCTGACACAAGGTGCAGGGCCTGCCGCGAGGCGCCCGAGACCCTAATGCACTTGCTATCAGCATGTCCAGCATATGTGGTCTCGGCCTATATCCATCGACATAACGCGGCCCTAATAGTGCTATATCACCAGCTACGGCACTCTCACGGTATTGACGAGACAACGGTGTTGCCCTACGCTACGGGGGATATTGAATCCGTTGTGGGAAACGAGAAGTGCCGAATTTTTTGGAACTATTCGTTCCCCATCCTCAGGCTTATACAAGCTAATAAGCCTGATGTAGTCCTTCTCGACCACCAGACCAAGACGATATTTGTCGTGGAGTTTTCAGCTCCTGGCGAGACGAATATCGTCAGGAAAGAGGAGGAAAAACGGATAATATATCGAGGTTTTCTCTTCGAACTCCGCAGACTCTATCCAGATCACTCTGCCAAGATGGTTGTTCTGATTATTGAAGTCCTTGGTGGAATGATGTCCTCTCTATTCTCGAATCTTAAAATCATACCGGCTTGCCGCACTAAGGCAGAAATCTTAGCCGCACAGATGCAGAAGGCTGTCATTCTTGGCCCACTGCGCTTGCTCAGGGCACATGATTCTCGGACCCAATGATCACTTACCCCACGGTGTAGGGAGTGGTCGTTGGTTCGGGGGATAGGGCATGACCAGCGCATACCACGGTAAAATGGTAATAATAATAATGCTAATAATAATAATAATCGTCTTTATTATTTTCAAAAAATATGTAAAAAAAAACAAGATTGAGGAAATACACCAACAGATTTTTTTTTAAATAAAGGGCGAAGTTCAGTTCAGTTCCTGAATAGATTCAACAACTGAACTGTTTTTCCACTCAACCCTAAAATATAGGTTCGAAAAATGTACTGATTGATGGTTTTACCATTCTTACAACTATCTGGAGGTGAAAATAAATTGAGGAGACGACTTTGAGTTTTCTGGATCGTAAATCTACTACATTCCACTTCGAGATATAATAGACTTCTACCACAGGTCTATACATATGCTTATGAAAGTGAGTATTTCAGTTTGTTGCCCTTAGCCACCATCATGTTAGTGACAAAAATATTGGAAGATGTACTTCGGACATTCCTTCTACATGAGTAGTACAATGAATGAAACAAAACATTCACTATCGTATTTATTTTATGATACCTATTTTTTTAATAACAATACTGACTAACATATACTGACTTCATTTTTGTATATTCATAATCACTTCACAGTTATTTCCTTCTTCGTTGCAGACTTGTTCTGGTCCTACGATCAATTTTCCTGTCACATTAATTTTCACAACAGGATCTTTCTTTTCGCAAACAAAATGGCGTTTACTAGAACAATAATTATCATTCCATACCAATTTTTTTCCAGAAATGATAACTTCAAGACAATATGTCGAATTTTTTGCACCATTTGGTTCTCCTTTTCTCCAGTTGAAATACGTTATTGGTTCATCATTCGACCATTTCCATTGTTCACCTGCTTTTCTTTTTCCTCCAATCCAATAGGGTTGTGTACCTGCACGAAGAAAAGAAATATACTTGTTGAAAGAGTTTGATGTTTGATTTTGAAACAAATGAGATAGATGTAAGGCCCTCATTCACGGAGAAGGTTTCAAAGCGAGAAGAATTTGAACTGTGCGTTCAGAACGTACAAGTAGAAAGTACAGATGAAACTTTACCCTTTCGAATTCGTTAGGTTACAAATGACGGAATATTCCTGTTGAATAAATGGGAGTGTTGAACTTGAAATTTGTAAATAAAAGTCCGATATATAATAACCGTTATTTCAATTTTGGAAGGAGTTGCCAAAAATCAGTATTCAGACTGAATCTAATAATAATTGAGTTACAGTTAAGTAGCGGTCCAAAAGTATCGGCCAAGCTACGTATTACAGTCACTCTCATATACATATTGTAGGAATTACGGCGAGACACGAAATCTGAGTTTTTCGAGATTTGATTATTATTATTTTTATTGGTTCCTGTTTTGTTGTATCATTTTTATTTTATTGTTGTACGAGCCGCACGTGTCACATGTGGAGAATCCGCAAATTGAACGCAGTTTCGAAGTGACGATCGTACTGCTATGTCCGACCGAGTTTAAAAATCATTGCTTTTATTGAGTTCGGAATAAGAATACAAAAATGATGCTGAAGAGACGCAGAAGAATTGGCACGAAACACGGTGGCTCAACCACTGTGCCACGCGAGTCACGTGTTACGCTAGTCGCACCACCTCGTGCCCGGGCGTCATCTTGCGCTGTTCTATTGGTTTATATGGGTTACAAATAATCGCGCTGTGCTGCGTCACCTCACATGCTTCCAATTTGTGTCTAGTTTTAGAAAGAATTGTCTGTGAATTCTTGAGATCATTCTCAACTGCAACCAGAGAGCTCGCTTCTGGGGGCAGCAGCTGCCAAAATAATTTAACAAAATAATTACGACATGGTGAGAAGGTTACAAATAGTGACAACTAGCTAAATCATATTGTTACAAATGGTGTCGGAGAGTTGAAGCCGCGTATCTTTACATATGGTGACAGCTAGAGCTAAGTGCCGTATTGTTAAAGATGAATATTTTCGCGTTATGTTACATGAAAAAAATTCAAATGCAGAAGGGGGAAAGTGCACGATTGGGGCAGGTGCAACCTTTTCTTTAAAAATTTACTAACACGGGTTTTTTCAAGATTTTGTCAAATCTGTCGTGGTCTGGAAATTTTTATGCCTTATGTATCATTTACTACAGCGGTAGACATTACCAATGGCGATGTTGATGCTCGAATTGATATTCCCGTTGTTCCAAACGCAGTAACTACCACGCTGGTATTTGACTCTGGTTTTATACAGGAAAGTAACTGAATAAGTGTAAAATATTTAGGAAGGTGATTCCTTATCGAAAAAAAGATAGGATCTTTCATATAAAGAAACTTCATTGGAGCATCCCTTGTTAAGATACAGCCCCTTAAATTGGGTACATAAAATTTTTATAACAATTTTTTTCACAAGCACTGAAAAAGTTACAATATTGAAATTAACCTGACGTCTTGTACCACCAAAAAGACACTTAGCCAATAATTTATTTGGTTTACCAAATGGTTGTGAGGGGTGGAGAACGCAACCCCTAAAATTTATTTCCAATGTAACTTTTTGTCTTATCATTTATTTACCATTAAATTCATTTCCGATAGAATGTTTCATTCTAAACAAAAAATGTCTCATGGGTTTTTTGCCCAGTTCGCAGCAAAAAATTATTTTACGAACAACTACAGAGATACATCGTCATAAATGCGAACTAGATTTATTGTTATTTTGTAGTTAGTAACTGCATTAAATGATTGAAGGGCAATAAATAAAACTAGTTAATCAATAACAGAACACACAACATGTGGAAATCATAGTAAATGTTCAATATGTCTACCTTCAGACATTACGCATGCGTCTAGACGTCGGCGCATTGAGCCACGTATTCGCTCAAATATTCCTGGAGTCTCTCTGATTACCCTGCACGCATCGTGAATAGGAGTACGATAAACCAAATGCTGTAAATGGCCCCAAATAGAGAAATCGGGGGGATTGAGATCCGGGGATCGAGCGGTCCAGTTCTGTGGTCCTCCTCGACCTATTCACTGATTCAATTATGTTTCAGTTGAATGCTGATTTGCTACTTGACTAAAATGGGCGGGAGCCCCATCTTGCATAAAAAACATATCCCTCTTGACGCTCTAAGGAACTTCCTCCAGCAGTACTGGATCCACTTCTCTTAAAAATTGAAAGTATGCCTCACCATTTAATCGAGGAGGTAGAAAATAACTCCTAGCCACACGTTAAGAGAAAACTGTTTTTGATGGTTAGTTTCGACAATAGCGTGAGGGTTTTCATCAGTCCATATGTGGTAATTATGAAAATTATTAATCTTGTCCCGGAAAAAACTACATTCGTCTGTGAATTCTATCGTCTTCAGAAAGTCACAATTTCAGCATCCAATTTCAAAATTCAAGGCGTTTCGGAAAGTCTCGCGGTAACAGTGCTTGTACTCGTTGCAGATGGTAAGGGTATAAGAGTTGTTCCTTTAAAATTCGAAATACCGTCATATGATCAACATTTAGCTGGAAAGCAATCTTTCTAGTACTGGTAGTAGGTTGTTTCTCAATCACATTAAGTACTGGTGTTCGTACTTCTCGATGGTGACCACAATCCTACGTTCTTTTATCGAATGAACCGTATTCTCGTAATCGTTGATGAAGTCGAGCAAATATTCTATGTGAAGGATGCTGCCGTTGAGGAATACATTTCAGCATATCTAACACATTCCTCTGCGACAGACCGTAAACGTAATGTTTATCAGCCATTTCCTCATTTGTGTATGCCATTTTAATAACAAGTGAATTATTAAAGTAACAAATTAAGAAAAGAACAACAACACACAATTGGTATTAATTCAATTTCGAAAATTCACAAACTGACAGCGTCATACCAATTCAATTGTCACTATCGCTAATAGCGACCTACTAGATACATTATTTTCGTATTTATGACGATGTATCTCTGTAGTTGTTCCTAAAATAATTTTTTGCTGTGAACTGGTTCATTTTGGGCAAAAAACCCAAGAGATATTTTTTGTTCAGAATGAAACAGGCTATCGGAAATATTTTTTCAAATGATAAACAAATAATAAGACAAAAAGTTACATTGGAAATAAATTTTAGGGGTTGAGTTTTCCACCCCTTACAACCATGGGGTAAACCAAATAAATTACTGGCTAAGTGTCTTTTCGGTAGTACAAAACCTCAGGTTAATTTCAATATTGTAACTTTTTTAGTGCTTGTGAAGAAAAAATGTTTTATGTAAAAATGTTTTATGTATTTCATGTACCCCCTTTGAGGGGCTGTATCTTAACAAGGGATGCTCCAATGAAAGTTCTTTATATGAAAGATCCAATTTTTTTTGATGAGGAATCACCTCCTTGAATGTTTTACACTTATTTAGTTACACCCTGTATTATCATTAGTGGATGTGTCTTGGTTTCTCTTAATTGAATTACTTGACCTTGTTTGTGTAACTTTGAGGAAAGGATAGATTTTATTATTGTTCAATGCCTGTTGTTTCTTTTGAAATTATCCTTATGTATTTGAATTTCTATTGCCTTTCTATATACTCTTGGGTAGTGATTTTGAATTTAATCGAGTATTACTGTATTCTCGAATGAGATAATGTGAGTGCTTTTTTTGTTCAGAGCATGTTTGGCTACAGCTGATTTGTCGGTTTGTTCGAGTTCACAATTTCTTATGTGGTCAGAGAAACGGGCACCTACACTTCTCTTCGTGGTTCCAATATAGACCGCCACGCCGCCCCCGTGGTGATGCTAAAGGTTCTCTAGGGTCCTTAACTGACTTTAGACTTTGATTGTTTTTGTTGACCCTCTAGGATCATCAATTCATTTTCAATTCATGTTGTTTTTTACGAACGAACGCAATAGGCAGTCCATCAAGTCTGGCGGTGGCAAACTTTTTAATGAAAAATTTCGAACAACAAGCTCCAGATCAAGCATCCGTGAAATTGTTGGCTGCGTTATGTTGATAATACTTTCGTGGTATGGCAAGATGGTGAAGAAACACTAAACGATTTTCTATTACATCCAAATCCTCTCGACCCAAAAATACAATTCACATTGGAACGAGAAACCCAAATTACTCTAGCCATCTTGGATGTTGTTGTGAATAGACGTGAAGATGGGACATTGATCCACAGATTGTATAGAAAACCAATACATACAAAGAGGTACCTGAACAAAAACTTCAATCACCAACCACAACAAAAGGGAGGGGTAATTACAACGTTGATTAAGAGAGCACGACATATCTGCAAACCTGAGAGTCTTCCTGAGGAGCTAAGTCACCAAAAAATGCTTCAAAAGAGAATGGATACAGCAAAGAATACGGCATAGGGGAGAGAACGTCAAAGTAACCCCAGCTAGGCTGATCAAGGAAAAAGTTTTTTTTTTCCGATGTTGAAAGTGAGTGTTACAGACTCTATAGGGAGAATCTCAGATCAACACAACATGACACCAATATTTAGGCCAACGAAAGCTATCAAACAAAATCTAAGGTCAGCTAAAGACCCCAGCACCTTTAGCAACACCTGGAGTATAACGGATTCCTTGTGTAGGCACCCGTCTTTTTGAACATGAAAGGAATTGTCCATTCAGACAAACCGAAAAATCAGCTGTAGCCCAAGACGCTCTCGACAGAGAATGCACTCACATTATTTCATTCGAAGATACAGTAATACTCCATAAAACTCACAATTACTATACAAGATTACATAGAGAGGCAATGAAAACTCGAAAACACAGGTATAATTTCGAAAGAAAAAAGAAATGAATGAAAAAAAAAGGCTATTCGACCTTGAAGGTAAACAAACAAGATAAGGTATTCCAATTAAGATAAACCAAGCCACGCCCACTATCAATAACTAGAGCACCAATTTTGGCACTGTGACCATTTCCACATCGCCTTTGATGATGTCTACCGCAGTAATAGACGAAACGTTAGGCATATGAACCTACAGACCACGGCCAAAACCCCGAAGAATAGATTGTACTTGATATGAACTCATTTCAATTTCTGTGATATTGCTACCAAAATCCATATTTCCTTACCTTTTTCACTCATGAGTTTATATAAATCATCATTTTCATATTCACATCTCAGTTCTGCTAGTTCCATGAACATATCCGAACAAAGCTTCTTTGCTTCTGCATACGTGGCCTAAAATATAAATCGAATATTACTTTTCAGCTCTGATGAATTAAATAACGTTCTACAAAAAAAATTTACTGTTTTAATGAGATAATTACCATAGGTAAAATAATAGTAATAAATGTTGATTGCTTCATTCCTACTACAGAATTTATAGTGGCTGCACTATTCACAGAGAAATTGCAAATGAGGATGGAAAAGAAAATAGATGTTCAAGTTTTTTTCAACTTAGAACTGGTATGAATATCAAATTACGACCGCCTCTATATTCATCAACGAGTTTGAACATAACGTAATGGAAAGCACACTCAATTGTGCGTAACGTCATTTTGGGATGAGCTGGTGGTGGAAGGCTGAAAGAAATCTCTGAATAGAAAATCCTATGAAGGTGGTTGTGAATAATGGAGAGATCTCGTACTTGCACGCTCTGAAGTTATCTAAGTCTCTGTTAATGAGTGGTCGGGAATAAGACTACTTGGGAACCGTCTGACTTGCACATTTACTTCAAATTTCCCGGAAAGAACTGTAGCCTCATGATCTCACTACAGTTTTACTATCATCGTTTCAGTTCGACAGTTTTGTTTAGCGTATTAGTTTTGTTACATGTCTCTCCTTGGTTTTCTGGGCATAGTTTTATTGTCGATAAATCAAGTTGGATGGAATCATCACGAGTTCTTGCTGGCCATTTTGTTCCATTGTCTGACATTGACAGTGAACACGCCTTCATTCTGAACCGATTTTTGGTATCACGTTTATCAAAATCCAGATGGTTCTGAGAGAAACTAATTTGATTCTGGGAACATAGTCATGAATTTCTAATTTCAAGTCTCTCCAGTACCTGACTCTTCAGTACCTGACTCGTACCTAGCCATCCACCAATGGATGGCTAGGTACGAGTCAGGTACTGAACGCATAGTATATGAAAATATAGCAAATCATTAAACTGAATGAGAACCAACCCTAACTCACTTGTGATGCACTGCTTCGAACCTTTGGTGAAGTAATGAATATCACTGGAGTTTTATTCCAACACCAAACCGTTATTTGCAACACCTCAACACGTGTTTCGATCACCAAGTGATCATCTTTGAGAGGAAGAAAATTTAATCTTTCTCTGGTGAAACGTTGTGAAGTTTTGGACCTGAGGTGGCATGCGATCAAAACATAATAAAGGAAATATTTTCATTTAGTCTGTGCTAAGTATTTTGAAATAGTGTTTCATACTATATAAATTCTCCTCAATTTTCTCACTACATAATTTGATTGTACTTCGAGATGAATTCCTAATTATCAATGTCTATTTACCCTTTTGATACTAACAACTTAATTAGTTCGTTTGATCAAAGTTTCGGAGTATTAAGTGGAGGGAATGAAGTATGTTTTGTCTGTATTTACTATTAGATAGTTACGAAGTCCCAATCTACTACAGTTTTTAATTCTTTCCAAGTTATGGCTTTGTATGATACTGATATGTCATTAGCAAAGCTCATCGCATTCCCTTCTTCGTTGTATTTGAATAGGTCATTGAAATATATGTTGAATAGTATAGGTCTGAGGACTGTGCCTTGTGGAAGATCAATTATTCTTGTAGGAGTTATGTAGTCTATGATTGTCCACGGTTAACTGAAAAGCTGTTTCTCTGAAACCTATATTCTCCAAAGTATTCAGAATTAATTCAAGGTAAACAGTATCCAATTCACATTTAAACTCAATCTGGATGCAAGAAGTAGGTTGTTCATTATCAACAGCTCATTTGAGTTGTTACCAGGTTATTAGAATCTTCTCTTGACCTGTTCTTCCTGAACCCTGAACCTGACATATTTTTTTCAGGAATGTTGTGGTTATTTGTTTTGATAGTTCTCGACAAATTTTTGATATATTCGAGATTATTGATCCTGTTTTGAAAAAAGGCTCCACAGTTGCCTTTATGAATGTTTTTGGATGAATATCACTCTTTAGTGAGAGGCACATGATGTGTGTCAAAGGTCTACAGATAAGAACTGCTATGAGTTGAAGGTATAGTTTCAGGCGTTATTTCATCCATCCCACGTGCATTTTTTAAAGATCTGATTGTTTTCAGTGCCATTTCTTCAGTCATATCTTCTAAGTGAAATGAATTTAAGCGACAAGTTCAAAGTTTGTTAGATGTACACCTGGCTTTGATTTACATTTTTTCTGACAGTTCCTTTTCGAAATTTGTTAAGTAGTCTTTGAAGCTATTAGCGATATCTAGCTTACTTCTCAGACTTTGTCCCTTTCCTGCCTCAATTTAAAGAATTTCATTATGATTTTTACTTTTTTTCGACATGTCATTCAAACATTTCCAAATATGTGAAGAATTATGCTGATTCAGTGGTATTTCATAATGAGAATGTTCTGTTTTGTATTTAATTAGTTTGGACTTCCATTGTCTAATATGATATAAATCGATTTGAAATACCTGAAAGAATCTGTAAAAAGATTATTTGAAAAATAACAATTATATCACGCAAAAACACTGAAATTATAAAGAAATAAAATACAAGTAACAACCAAAAAATCACAAAAAGTTAACTATCATGAAAATTAAAGAAGTATTAACAAAAAATGTACGAAACTGTTAGACATCATGAGCTCCACAAGGAAGAGAAGCCCCCACAACCAGTACTTGTACTTCCCTACATCAGAGGATTATCGAAAAGGATGAGAAGGATTGGGTCCAAGTATAACGTCAGAACCTGCTCCAGATCTGGTAACACTATCCGTAGCAGCCTCACAAAAACCAGGCCACCAAACGCGGACTGTGATTCCAAGAATTGCATTTACCGGAAACCCTGCGAATGCGGAGAATCATAGATCGGTGAAACTAAGAGGCCATTGAAAGTTCGCATTGCCGAGCATAAAAAACACACATAGCGAAGAGAAACTAGAAAATCAGGAATAGCAGAGCATGTTTGGACTCATCAATATAACATCGAGTGGGCTCAAGCTGAAATGATCCACAAGGAAGAACACTGGTTTAGGAGAAAATTCAAAGAAGCCGCTTATATGTAGCCAACAACGCATTTAGCCAAGCTAGCGTAGAGCTACGTAACATATGGAAACCTCTAATTACGCAGAACACTCCCGCCAAACGGTCAGTTTCCGCTAAAACCAATGAAGCGGAGAGAGTGAGGAGGGGATAGGTGTAAGCACTCGAATGACCTATAAATAGTCAGATTTTGAAGGACTGAGTTCAGTAACAGAGAGATCCTCGCTGAAGTGCCACAGGGGGCCGTGCTCTCTCCGACGCTGTATTCACTTTACACCAGCGACCTGCCTAGGTCCGAGCGAGTGAAGATATCCCTGTACGCCGATGACACGGCTCTTCTCTCATCTTCCATGGGTCGAGAGCTCGGCGTCGTCTACATGCAACGTGCATTGGACGACCTCGAGCGCTGGTACCTCGATTGGAAGATTCGAGTAAACCCGGAAAAGACTCAGGCGATAACCATGGGAAGATTACTATCTTCTCCGGCCAGAAAAGTGAGAATCTCTGGAAGGGAGATTGAATGGCAAGCGCGGGTAAAGTACCTCGGCCTTCTAATAGACCGTAGGCTCACTTGGAACCTGCACATCATGTGCGTTAAGTCTAAGATCGAGGGTCGGATAGCCAGTCTGTACCCTCTGGTCAATAGGAAATCTAAATTGAGCACGAAGAATAAAATCACCATCTATAACACGATGTTCAAGCCTGTCATCATGTATGCTTCAGGCGTCTGGGGACAAGCGGCTCCGTCCAACATTTCCATTTTGGAAAGGTTGCAAAATAAGTTAATAAGGATGATTGTGAATGCTCCTTGGTTCGTGCGTAACGAAGCCATCCGCAGAGATTTGCAGCTGCCTTCCATTCGGTAGTCCATCCAGTCGAGGAATCAGAGAGTTTTTGAAAGTACGGAAACTCATGAAAACTCGTTAGTTAGGGAAGCCACAGATTATGCTGTAGACGACCCCTCCCGATATAGAAGGCCCCGACACTCTGTCGAATGAGGCCCTCATGTCCCCCGTTAACGGATGAACAACTTTTTCATCCATCCCACCCCAGTCAGGTAGGGGTATCCCGTGAAGGGCGGCACTGATGTCTGAGGACTTCATGCCGTCATAATACAATCAGTCACGAACCCATTGGTCCTTCTTGACACCAATAATCAGCCGAAAGGGTAGGGGAGCTGGATTCTAAACCTGACTAACACGAAGATGACTTCCACCAACTGAGTTCAGTTATCACACGACGACAATTGTGGATACTAACAATCGAAACGTCGTGAAGTAACTTGCTTTGGAATCTTTTAATTTTCAATTTTCTTTTCTTGTCAATACTTTTTTATGATTTTTTGGTTGTTGCTTGTTTTTTATTTCATTGTAATTCCATTCTTTTTTGCTTGATATGATTGTTATTTTTGAGCTGATCTTTTTTTATTTTTTTACAGATTCTTTCAGGTATTTCAAATTAATTTATATCATATCAGACAATGGAAATCCAAACTAATGAAATGCACCACGAAATATTGTCAACTAGCTCAAAAAAAATTTGTTTTGTTTTCTTTTATGACGTCAATTAGTTTATTACGATGTTTTTAGAAGTTATTTAGGTTCTCTTGGATGAAGTGATGTTTCATAAGAAAAAACAATCGATTTTTTCAATTATTGGAGGTTTCTAAATCTTTCGTTATCCACTCCTAATGTTAAATATCTGATCTCTTGTATTTGGTTATTGAATTACATGATTGGATGTATTTTTGTATGAAATCAATAAAACAATTTGCGGCACGTTCAGGATCATTGTCGGCATAAATTTCGGGTGAAATTTCAGCTTGAATGAAGGAAACTAATTCCATTTTATTAAGATATTTTTTTGTAATATGCAAATTTTGAATATGATTTTTTTCAGGCAAATGGATTGGTAACACTGTAGGTTAATGATCAGTGACACCCATTTTCAACTTTACTGGTACACAGAAACCTTTATCGAGATTTGTTTTTCAAATATATGATCAATACAAGTTTTAGAGTTTTTAATATTGCTTGTGTGCGTATTAATTGTTAACAGTATCCATGTGCCACCATTACATTTATATTAAGTAATACATGATATTATATTTCATTAAATCCGAATCCGTAATAATTTATAGGTTAACGTTGAAAACACTCAGGTCGGACATGTCATTAGGAAATACAATATCGAGTATTTCAGTTGAAAACTTCAAATACTTATAGTTTCATAGTATCATTTACTGAAGAAAAGAACAATTACAAAATCTCTAAACATATTCTGAATATTTTCCGAAACTTTTATACTCACCGTCTGTGTACTGAGATAAAACTTCTTGGTTGGCAAATTCGAATCTGGTGATGTGCTTATGTAACAAATTTTATCATCGACGCTAACACCCTCCAGTATTGTATCAGCACATTCATTTTGTGTTTTCTCGCAAATATAGGCACGCTTATCGCCACATGGTTGATCGTTCCAAAAAACATCGTTATTTTTTTTGAAAACTTCCAAACAACTTTCATCTCCTCTTGCCGAATTTGGTTCTCCAGGATACCAGTTGAAAAATGTAATATTACTCCCATTGGACCAGGTCCAGAATGATCCATCGGAATGTTTATTTCCCGATGTCCAAACAGCATCATTGAAATCTGCAACAGACAGATGCATTATCTGTTATGTATTCAGAAGTGGATTATCATCAGACTATGGTGATAAATTCCACCAACTTTTATTTCTGACATCCGTTCATAAACTCTACTGAAAGTTTGAAATACTCCAGAAAAGACTATGGCTCTTTTCTGGATGGAATCCAGGGGCATAGCTCCATACATGAGAACAATATTCCAAAGAAAGTCTGATCTGAGCTGTATAAAGCATCAAAAGTTGCTGCGGTGTGTAACTTTTTCTGGTTGGGAACAATATTCCAAACCTTTGAGAAGCAGCCTATTTCAGCGACATGTTTGTGCCAAGACATATTGGTGTCCATTTCAAACCACAACAAACTCATCGAAACAGAAAACGGAATTGTCTGACCTGACATTATTATATCCGGTTCGGAGACATTCATCTTCTTGGAGAAAACTGATGCATTGGTTTTTGTGGCATTGAATTGAACCTGGTTACTTTCACACCAATTGGAAATCACTTCTAGATCCTCACTAAGATATGCAACCTCTTGCAGCCGGTGAAGATGTGCCTCCGTAGCCGAAGTCCTGGAATCCAAACAGAATGACGAGACAAGTGTGCTGTCGTCAGCAAAGCAATAAATTGTATTTTAGGTTTTTTTTCCAATAAGTTGTTGATATACAATAAAAAAAGGGTTGGAGACAATATGGATCCCTGTGGAACACCAGCGTTCATGGTGAAAGTATTCGAGAGATATCCATCGATAGCCCCTTGCAGGAAACGTTCCTTTAGGAAGCTGACGAGCCATACATAAAAATGACTCAACAAGCCATAGCATCGAACATTGGCCAGCAATCCCTCATGCCACACACGGTCAAAAGCGCAACAGCTCTTGGTTCTTGATATTTGAGGATCTAGTGGCTTACGACTTTCTCTATGATTTTTGATATCACTGATAGCAAAGCAAAGATTGGAAGATTTTTCGTGCCCTTCACGGACACTTCATCATGGCCAGACGCCTTGTTGATATTGAGCTGTTTCAAAATCCGCCTGACTAGAAGCTGCCGAAAATAAATAGAAACGTGCAATAATCTACAAAAATGCTGAAATGTTAATTATTGCACTCTAAACAGTTGCAAAGTCTGTTTTCGAACACCTCCTTAACATTTTTAACTCTCAGAGACCGGCTCGCTGCTATACTTCTCATTTCAAGATCATATCAGAAGGTTGTGTTTATGAAAACTCCGTATTCAAATCGTCTTCCAGAAAGGAATCCAAAATAGTCAAATTCAGCGTTCTGTAAGGACTCCTTTCCAATCCACAGGATAGACAATAATGAGATGGGGTATCTACTATATAACTGAAAATATGTGACACGGCCACCAGAACTGAACTACTTTCTGCGTGCCTATATTGTTTTTGAAAAAAAAATGCTGGTTTTCGTCACCACAATTGAAAAGATTTCGTTCATTCATGTGGCTGAGGAAAAAATATATTCTGTATTCTTTTGTCAGAATAATTCCTACATAGTAATATATGCAGCATTTTTCAGGTATGAATTCAAAGTATTTCACGGCTGCTGCTCTCATCCAAGATTTTCTGGTTATTATCAAATTTATAGTTTGAGCAGATACCTCAGACTCAGTCGCAATTTCCACTATCTTCTTAATAACTATCAACGATATTCTACAAAAAGTGGAACTTCTCTTCAAAGGACGCCTGTGTGCCGATAATTTAGTTATATGATTAAAAATATTGACAAATCAGTTTCTATGACCCAGAAACCCTTTTCGGAATGAAAACAGTATTCTATTACATCCAGTTTAAGTTTATCAACTCAGAAAAAACAAGTCTCGCTGTTCAGCAGAAAAACGGACAATACTCAAAGTCTCAGTTTCGATGGGCAAAACCTGAAATTCTCATCATAATACTATGCAATTGAAAGTGTTCATTTTTAGGAGAGAATAATTTTTGGGAAAAAAAGTTTTTGGCCTTCTATTTTTCCATCTTGGTACAAAAAATGTTTGAATCTTCCAAAGAAAGGAGGAACTCAATTTCGAAAAGTTACTCTATACAAAATATATGAAGATCGTGCAAAAAAGTAACTTGCAGACACAAACTGGAAGACAAAGCCTAACCTAAACAGCTATTTTCATATAAACATTGAATTAGACGAAGGTAAAATACTTTCCAAACAAATACTTTTATATGAACGCTAAATCATACTTTTCTCTATTTCGTTTCCAAATATTCGTAATGGAATCAAATCGTATATCATATAATATTTTCTGGGAATGACTCTAGAACAGAGAATTTTTTATGTGTCAATTGAATACGCCTCTACGAACAAGTCACTAATGGGAAACCTGAATGAAATGCACTCAGCCATCTGCATAGCATTAGAAGTTTTTCACACAATACCAATCGAAAGCATTGATAGTAAGTCTAGTGGATAATTTCTACTTAACCGGAAAACATACCTGATTCTAACATATGTAGCGAATATGAATTTACACCCCATCATCACAACTATCACAAAAAAGTAGACCCAAAACTCCAAAACCATCCTACGAGAGAATCATAATCAATAAACCTGAAATGTGATTTTCATGAAGCAGAAAAAATAGAAAAATCTATAAAATTTATCTGGATACCATTGCATATAGGAATAATAGTAAATTGAACAGTGGCCGTTGATGGATATCTCTTCAATACTTTTACCATCAACGCTGATGTTCCCCAGAGACTAATTTGAGAAAACCAAGAATCCAATATACAGGGTGTAACTGGATGAAGAGGTGATTCCTCATCTAAAAAAAGATAGGAGCTTTCATATAAAGAAACTTCATTGGAGCATCCCTTGTTAAGATAAAGCCCCTTAAAGGAGGTACATAAAATTTGTATAACAATTTTTTTGACAAACAATAAAAAAGTTACAATATTGAAATTGACAGTGGCTGTACTTGTTGCAGATGGTGAGGGTATAAAAGTTGTTCCTTTAAAATTCGAAATACCATCATACGATCAACATTTAGCTGGAAAGCAATCTTTCTAGTACTACTACCAGTGGCTAATAGGTTGTTCTTCAATCAAATTGAGTACTGCTTCCCCGAGCTGTGCTGTTCGTACTTCTCGATGGCGACCACAATTCTGCGTTCTTTTGTCGAATAAACCATATTCTCGTATTCATTGATGAAGTCGAGCAAATATTCCATGCGAAGGATGCTGCCGTTGAGAATACAGTTCAGCATATCTTCTAGAAGCTTCTAACTCATTCCCCTGCGACAGACCGTAAACGTAATGCATATTAGCCATTTCCTTATTGGTGTATGCCATTTTGAAAACAAGTGAATTATTGAAGTAACAAATCAAGAACAGAACAACAACACAATTAGTATTAATTCAATTTCGAAAATTCACAAACTGACAGCGTCATACCAATTTGATTGTCACTATCGCTAATAGCGACCTACTAGATAGATTAGTTTCGTATTTTCGCATTTATGACGATGTATCTCTGTAGTTGTTCGTAAAATAATTTTCTGCTGCGAACTGGTTTATTTTGAGAAAAAAACTCAAGAGACATTTTTTGTTAAGAATGAAACAGGCTATCGGAAATAAATTTTTAAATGGTAAACAAATGATAAGACAAAAAGTTACATTGAAATAAATTTTAGGGGTTGCGTTTTCCACTCCTTACTACCAAGGGGTGAACCAAATAAATTTCTGGCTAAGTGTTTTTTTGGTAGTTCAAAACGTCAGGTCAATTTCGATATTGTAACTTTTTGAGTGCTTGTGAAAAAAATTGTTATACAAATTTTTTGTACCCCCTTTGAAGGGCTGTATCTTAACAAGAAATGCTTCAATGAAATTCCTTTATATGAAAGATCCTATCTTTTTTTCGATGAGGAATCACCTCCTTGAATGTTTTACACTTATTTAGTTACACCCTGTATAGCTTTGCTGACGAAAACACACTTGTCTGGCAGTTCATTTGGGTTCAAGGACATCGGCTGCGGATGTACAACTTCACCAGCAGCAGCATATCTTAATAATAATAATAATAATTCTTTATTGGTGTGATGACATTAAAAATGTTTACACAAGTCAGGAAAGGATAAAGACATAAAAATGGTAATATACATATATATAGTAATACAAAGTACAAAAAAAAACTTATTGTAAATACTACAGTTAATGAGGATCTACAAGTGATTTCGAATTGGGGTGAAAGTAACGAGGTTCAATTCAATGCCCCAAATACCCAGACATCGGTCTTCTCCAGAAAGATAAATGTCTCCGAATCGGATATAATAATGTCAGGAGAGACAATTTCGCTTTCTGCTCCGATAAAATGAACACCAATATGTCTTGGTACAATCATGTCGCTCAAATTGCAAAGGCTGCTTCTCAAAAGCTTGAAACACTGTTCCGAACCAGAAAACTGTACACATCTCAGCAACTTTTGATACTTTATAGAGCTTTGCAGTATTATACTCATGTATGGAGCTCCGCCCCTGAGCATACCTCGAAGCTGCCGGATTCCATCCAGGAAAGAGCCATCCGCCTGACTGGAGATGCGAACATCACTTGCAACCTTGATAGTCTGGAACATCGAAAAAAGGTTGGAGATTTGTCTCTCTTCTATAGATACTTCCACGGGAAGTGTTCAAGTACATATCAAAAATACACGACGGACTGTGGCTACTAATAATTTTGAAGTTCAACTCGGTACACCTCGAACTTCACAGTTTGAGAACTCTTTCATTTGGAGAACTGCGTTTATGTGGGACAAACTTCCTAAGAACGTTTTTGCAGATGAATTCAATCTCCAGTGATTCAAATCCAACTTGAATCGATACTTTCATACAGGCACCGCTCTTGGTCCGGAGTTGCTTCGTTGGAATTTATGAAACGGTGTTAACTGAATATTATAAATATCCTTACATTGATTTTGTTGAAATTTGCTACAGTAATTCAAAGCAATGAGGCGCTCATTTAGCTCGAATTAGATTGATATTATTAGGTCCAGTGGCGTCTCAGTGAGCACTACAGCCAACAATATGGAGAAGAAAAAGAATGTCACTGACTTTTTCTGTATTTTTTTCATTTTTCTAGATTGTGCAACTAAAAATACTTCATTGCTTGTATTTTTTTTATATTAGGCTTCGTTTTCGACAAAAAAATACTTCTTGAAACTTTCCATGGAAAACATAAAATAAAAACCAGAAGTAGAAAATAAACAATTTCGACTTCAAAATAAATGACAGGAATGTTCACCTCCTGATGAAATACACGACTGTAATCGATGACACATTCAAAAATTCAAAAATTCAAAAATATCTGACATAAAACCTTGGCAAGTCAACTTGCCAAGTTTTTATGTCAGTGTTGGTGGTTTGACCAAGTAAACGACAACTGCGGTAGCAAAAATTTGAGAAGCTATCCTGGAATGTCATCGGAAAACGAAATTTGTAAAAATGATATGAAATCGAGAAAAGGTAATGCAGTCAAGCTGCTGGAAAATAATTTCATAAAAATCAAAAGATGAATAGATTTTGATAATTCTCATATTGATTTCAATTTAAAAGCTACTGGTAGACAGCTGTTTCAGCCTATTGGGCATCGTTAGTACCGGGCAAGCGGACCTCGATTGAAGACAAAATGTGAATAACCAAGAAAAGTACTTGATGAGAATAACTGCATAAACGCAAGCGAGACATAAGTGGAACCACCTATAGGTGTGACACGTTGTTCCAATATTTCGATAAAATTTATTATCATTTTCAAGGAAAAGCTATAAAATTTGTATGATGCTAGTACAATATGAAAATTATTATGAAAGGTCTCAAATTTGCTGTAAGTGAAGATGGCCGTGTCGAAAAGAATGTTACATTTGAACAATTGAAACATGTCAATACAATAAAACAAGTCACTACAGTAGAAGAAGTTGACTCCTCACTGGATATATAGAAGACCATTGAATCAAAATTTACTAAAAATCGTTATCTGTTCCAAAATTAAGGATAACCGGTAAAAGCTATGAGGTTGAAGAACAAATAGAGGGACAACAAGCAACTGACAATAACAGCTATTATGTGATTCAATTTGAAAAAGTGTTTTTGTTTGTCTCTGATAAAAACAAAGAAGAGCTGTTATGGTGCATATGTGATCAGAGACATCTGCTGTTATATAAGTCAATCAATGAGAAAACCCAATTTGATATTAATTAATTCTATATGTCTTGAGGAAAACAAGTGAAGAGGTGTTGTTAAATGAAAGTAAAACCCTGCCATAGGAAGGTTGGAAATTTGTTAAAAAAAAATTATTTAAAATGTTATGAATTATATTAATGAAAAATCAGAATTATTATTGGTTCGAAAATCATGTGAATATTTATCAATGTCTAATAGGAAGGCATAGATTTCAGTGAGGTGATCAATGTCTGATCTTCTATTGAGGCAATTATTCGATTGAAGTATGAATGACATTTCTAAAAACAATCTTTCAGATGTATTTCTTCCAATTGATAAAATTTTAGTTGAATTATAGTCCATTTTACGATATTCTTTAGAGACCTGATTAGTAAGAGCACATCTCTCAGGACGTAGTAATCTACTATCACTTTTATGTGTGAACTGATTCTGTCTTTGAGTAGTCTTGATGTTTAACCAATATATTCACTACCACAATTTAAACATGGAATTGAATAGATTGAATGGGATTGAAAGTTGATAGGAGTTTTATCTTCGAGTTTCGAAAATAATTTACCAATGGTTAATATGGTTCTGAAAGCTATTTTTACATTAAATGTAGTATGTTTATTGAATGGAAGTTAATAGGAGTTCTATATTTGAGTTTCGAAAATAATTTATTAATGGTTAATATAGTTCTGAAAGCAAATTACATTAAATGTAGTATGTACATTGAATGAAAGTTAATAGTCAAGTTTCGAAAATGATTTAGCAATGGATGATATGGTTCCGAAAGCTATTTTTCATAAAATTTTCACATCAAAGTTTGAGTAGAGCCTTGAAGATGAAATGAAAGCACAGACAGCTATCGAAAGCGCTCGCATGAAGGTTCAAATCCTTTTTGTGACATATGTAAATTCCGTTCGATCACGACCTATCATTCAGGATATTGTTTTCTCCAATGAAAATTCACTCAGAATTCCAATACATTAGGCATTCATCAAGAAACTTTGTCAACTAAACTTAAACAAATGTTGAATTCGATTGCATTCAAGCATATAGTATTGAAAAATATCTGATACATTGATCATAATTCCACTCCAAAAATAGTTCAATGTCAGTTAATCTGTTGATATATACATGATCTATTAAATCGTACTCACCATTATTTTGCAACAATTCAAATATGGCTTTATTTTTCTCAGGATTCTGAATGCTCACAAGTTCCATCGACTGCATCTTACAAAGTTTTTCTGCTTCATCACGAGTAACCTGAAAAACATTTAGAATTTTTGAAAGAAATGTTTGTTGGAATGATAACCAATATTTACTTTCTCAGTTCCTAGAAATAAATTTCCGGTCGATATCGATCCACCTGCAAATTTTAAAAATCTATCAGTCGTGTGAGACCTGCTTTTGAAAACAAAAAAATATTGGTCTATATATAAGTGGTGATGACGATAGTTCTTCCAAAGATGTCATCTATGGGATCGAGAAAAAACCAGAAAACTGTCATAGAGCTTGGCTTGGTGAATCGTTTCTTACTTCTTTCTACAGTTTTCACTTCAAAAAGTGACTAGATATTACCAGAACCTATATATCTGAGCAAGTTTCCAAATCATTATGGGATACATTCATCAATTTGCTGCGTTCGGAATTATTAAGAAGTTTATGCAGTAAAAACTTCTAGAAATTAAAAAACGCTAATTTCAGAACACAAGAAAAATCTAAATTGAAAAACAAAAATCCAACCCACAGGAATCTATGCAAACCAATGAAAGGAAACAATAAAATTCCCTATTGAACGACTAACAAGAAATTTAGCACTCATATAATCAATTGTTTTTATGAAATTCTGAAACTACTAGCCAACAAATGAGAAGAAAAATTGCGACTAATATCATAATGGAGTTCATATATATGAGAGTTCAAAGCACCCTGACTGCGACTTGAGTTATGGTTATTTTTATTTTATACAAAAAAATAATATATTTTGAGGACAACAGACTTTATTTACAATACACATGAAAACATTCAAATGAACTCTTTTGTGCATAACCTTTTTGGAAATGTTAACTTTCGTTTATATGTTTCATCGTTTTCCCTCATAAAGAACCAAGAGTAATCCCCCAGCATTGCTGCATCCCATCTGTCTTGGTAACGTTGCTTCAATATCAGAATGTCTTGTTGGAATCTTTCCCCTTGTTCATCACTGACAGCACCCAAATTTTCTGGGAAAAAATTTAAATGGGAGTGCAAGAAATGGATTTTGAGAGACATGGGACATCCCATTCTGCAGAAGTTCTCAAGTAGTTCTTCTACAAGTGTTTCGTAATTTTCTACTTTCTTGTTTCCTAAAAACTCCGAAACAATTTTTTCGAAAGAACTCTACGCAGCTAATTCAACATTACTTGATTTTTGATTGAACTGTTGATCACTTTGTAGTTTCCTAATTTGTGGTCCAATACCTTCCTTGAGCTTTGCATCACTTGATTTTGGAAAAACGTGTTCAGGATATTTAAACACATCACCTTCTTTGTCTAATGCTTTTACAATATTTTTCATCAACTCCAGTTTAATATGTAATGGAGGTAACAAAACGTTTTTGGGATTAACAAGAGGTATATTTTTCACGTTAGCTTGACCTGGAATATATTTATCACTCGGAGGCCATTCTTTTACTTGATAAGAGCTCTGTGTGGCCCTACTGTTCCAAAGGCATAGAAAACAGCAAAACTTCGTAAATCCGCCCTGAAGACCTAGTCCTATGACTTTTAGGTCACCACATATTTGCCACATACGTATTATAGGTTATTGCATTTAGAATAAATGACATACTTTCGTGTGTTTCTTTCATGGCAGCTACATGTGCAATAGGAATAGAGGGTCTTTCGTTACCATTATGGAGCAGAACGGCTTTCAAACTTGACGTTTATATGTTTAATTGTTTGATGTGTAACTATAATCATCTTGAATCACTATTGAAATATTGATATGATATGAAATAGGGATATTGAAATACATTTCTGTACATGGGAATCTCGTAAAAGATAAGAAATAGACTGTCGGTTGAATCATGGCAAAGTTGCGTATTTTAGAGACCTATTCAATGATGTAAAATCGAATATAGCTCTTTCGTTTCTGTAGATATACAGGAAAAACAACAAAATCCCAAATTATTATTTTGCCTATATCTTCTTTATTTACAGACATATTGAAAATCTGTCCACATTTTGCTATTGGCACTTGATGTGGGCTATTAGAATATGTCTATGAATTTTTTATACAGGGTGTCATCTGACTTGGGCCATCCCCATCTTTGAAATTTCAAGTACGGACCTGTATTTATTGTTGTAGTTTTTGGATCGTAGACGTTCACTTCATACTGAGAAATTATATTCTATTTTATATTTCTTTTTGTTTTGGTAATATTTGATTATAATTTTGTGAATTATACAAAAAAAATGGCGCAATAAATGTTCGAATTGGAGTCCTTCCATTTCGAGACAAATACTGGGCCAATATAATGGCCTGCAAGATTACCAGATCTTCCTATTCTGAACTATTTTCTATGGGGGACATTGAAAACTAGGATTTACACTGGTAGATAGATAGAAAATATGCAAGACTCAAGATTGAGGATTTTGAATGATTTTGCAACAATGCAGCCAATAAATGTGTTGAGGGCAATAAATAATTTGAAAAACCGAGTTCAAAAATATCTCGAAATGGTAGGACTCCAATTTCAACATTTATTGCGCCATTAATTTTTTTGTGTATATAAATTACTTCATTTCGCAGGCCTCAAAAAATGCTCACCGTGTTGCGGTTTCATGAACTATTCCGTGTAAATCTCACGATAAAGTGTTACTTGACTACCTTATGAATTTTCATGAAGTTCTGGCCGATTTCATTACCTAAAATTGTTTATTATCATGAATAGTATGGATAATCTTCATTAAGTAATGGGTCGTGTATTCCTAATGGATGTTCACCTATTCCTATTCCTGTTCACCTTTGAATACGTTTGAGGATGAAAAAAAAAAATCTGAAAAGACTGTCATCTCGTTGGCGGACATACTTTATTCTCTACAGGAGATATTTCATGCTCAGAGTGCTTCTAGACACCTCATATGTTACCTTTATAGCCTTGCCATTACAATTCTGAAAGAGACAAGATTTTTAGTAATTTATCATTCATATAAGCCCGTGGTAGAAATCGTTTGTCGTTATCTCCGTAATAGACACAATGTGGTTTCAAAGTTCAAAGAAATATATTTTACAAAAATATCCATCGGCAAATCGCTTTGCAAGTTGTGTGTAACACATTTTTCGCTAGTTTGTGAATTTTGTTACAGTGATATTATAACTCAAAAGGGGTATATTTTCAGAAAAGTATAATTTTCGGAAAAGAAAGGTTACTTCCCGATCTTTATACAAGAAAAGTGGGAATCTTCTAGAGAAAGAAATAAAGCAATTGAATTCAAAATAAACTATATACAGATTTTAAAATTGGAGGAGCTAGTAAGTTGAAAAAATTATGGTGTTGTACTGAAAATATGTCTTGGATTACATATTAACATTTGATATACATTCGATTGGTATTCTGATTATAGAAGAATTAGAAGTATAATATACACTGTGTCCAAGATAAGATATATAGATAGATAGTTTATTTGACTACGTATATGCAAGTCAGTTGATAAATCAAATATTTGAAATTGAATAATACCTAAATGAAATAAAAACATAAACACTACAGTATAACGAAAACACAAGGCACCCAAAAGGGGTAAAATACTTTTTAAAATACATTATTACAAGCAGCACTGTATAACAAAATACAATAAAATTTTTGAAAGATATTATTACACGCACTTTCGTTCAAAACATAAATCCGGGCATTACCATGGAAGCAGTCATATATTCATCTATACTATAAATGCCTTCATCAATGAGAATTTCTTTATACCCTTCTTAAAACGTGTCTGTGATAAGTTCTTGACTGTAGTTGGCAAGAAATTGTATAGGTTAACATATAAGGAATTCTTGGAAGATTTCTGTAGATTGAATTTAGCAGGTCGTATAAGATTAGCACCACGTGTTTCATAGTTATGAAAGTGGGAGTTAGTTAAAAGAGTGCCCTTAATTGTATGTATCTCCAGCAGTGACTGAAAAATGAAAATCGATGGAAGAGTCATGATTCCTAATTTTTTGGATAATGGACGACATGTATCCCGATATTCCGCATTAGAAAGTATCTTTATTGCTTTTTTCTGTGTTACAAATATCTTTCCAGCAGAAGCAGAATTACCCCAAAGAAGTGTCCCGTAGCTAATGAACGAGTGGAAAAAGGCATAGTAGACAGCGAGAAGAGTGTCAATAGAAACAAAATTCCTCATGTGCCTCAACAGAAACAGATATTTGTATAATTCCGTATTTAATTCTTCAATATGACATGTCCAATTAAGGGAGTCATCCAAAGTTATACCAAGTAATTGGGCTGTTTTTCCTCCCAAAAGCATGTTATTGGAAGGAAATATCAGTCTGTGGGTTTTTCCCATATTAAGTTTGAGAAGATTCGCATTGAACCATTTTTCAGCTTGGATTTCAGCAAGTTCAGAAATTTTCAATTAATTTTTGCAATTTTCGTCTGAGCAGACAATAGATGTGTCATCGGCATAAACAACACATTTATGGGGCAGAACTTGGACAAAAAGGTCATCTTTGAATATTAGAAATAGGAGAGGTCCCAGCACAGATCCTTGTGGAACACCGTTTACTATAGGCTCTAAAGTAGACGTTCTATTGTCTCCTAGGTCGATTTTGTAAATACGATGTGAGAAGGGAGCGAGCCACACCTCTAACCCCCTATTCATTCATTTTATGAAGTAGTAAGTGGTGAGAGACACAGTTGAATACCTTACTCAAGTCACACAGAGTTACAGCGCTATGCTGACCATTCTCAAAGTCGTCGACAATGTTTCTCACAACACGAACAGCTGCTTGTACATGAACAGCATGGGAATATCGGAAACGGTAAGTGATACAGGGTCAATTGAATCAGAGAAAAGTAGCGTATTCATATGCCCAATAATATGTCATATAGAAAGTTTCAATATTCCGAGTAGTTTCGGAGATATCCGAGAAAACCCGAAATTTTGAGAATTTCGTTTTTATTTTATCCTAGCTTTATTTTCAAAGGAAATGTAAAAAAAAGCACTTTGCCATGACCACTTTTTAAGGACTATACGATAACGTAGGCAGAATTTTTCTGTGACGTTTCGTCTTTTATAAAACATCATCAACTTTATATTTTTATATAGGCCGAAACTAAAGTATATCCTATATACGACTCCATTTTTCATTGTGATA